TGAGTTGCACATAGACATGCACATGCACATAGTTTTATTTACTGCCTATTATTCTTTCATGCCAGGGTATTATGTGGAAGACAACCACTATTCTGAAGCACTGTGTAGTCTACGCTCATAAAAAGTGTTTAATAAGTACTTTTTTATTGCTGTGAGGAGTATCCTAATCCTTTTCGGATTTAATGACCTATTGCTTACAGCATGTGATTTTCCTCTTCTGAAAATGGTAACTTAAAGTAGAAATAAAGCGATGGAGACCTTCTTGAGAATGAGAGCCAATGTAGTGACAACTGTATCATCATGTGACAGGGTCGGTTAGCCAAAGCCAAGTTCTCTACTATGAGGCAATAGTGATTTGTAAAGAGACCGAGGTTTTGCAAATCTCTCTAGCATTTGGTGAATGACCTCCTTCTATGCAGTACTATGAAATATCACGAACGATCAGTTGGCCTTCGTCTTCAGTTACAAATATTTGCTCTAGAACTAAACCCAGGCTAGGCAGAAAATGGCTGCGGTTTTTGACACAATTAATTAAAAAATAATGTTATAGTAATAAGTACTAACTATGCGTCCAGTTTTAAAGCCTAATACTTTCCTAAGAACACGGCACGTGACGCCTCTTCTGACACTTATTTTACAATGGTTCGGTTCCTTTGATGCTTTCAATTCACAGAAATTGCATTCTTTTTCCAAATATGTTCAAATATAGGCATAAAGTAGCGTCAAACGAGCGCAGTCTTCCTGAACGACCATGTGAAGTCTACAATTAAAGCTGTACCTATAAAAAATACTTGTGGGCTGTAGGAAAACTTAGCCTCAATATTAACGGCTGAATAATCTCTTTTCATTTCAAATACACTGGAAAGATGTAAAAAGCTTGTTAGACTAGTCGAAAATAGACAATGTTCATCTGGAAAGCTGGAATGAGTCTCCTCTCCTAAAGTCTCCTAGACAGTTTCCAAAGTCGAATTTGAAACCAAAAATCTACCGCTGTAGAATTTGAACGAATTGGGCTACCAAACTCTGCAGTACTCACTTTAGTTGTCGAACCTCTCGATAAAAAACAACTTTTTTCAAGCATCTCTATGCTACTATTCGATAAAATCTTAAGCAACGAAGCCAGTACATAAAGAACCTTCGAGTAATTAGTCGCATCCAGAACTTCAGAGTTCTATGTTAACGCAATAAACACGCATTCATGTTGTTTGCAAAGAAATATTAAGATTCTAATGGCTCTTCTCTCCAATAATGAACCTATTTTTAAACCGACTTGTAGCTTTCTAGTACTATAATCGGAAATCCGTCGTAAGTTTCACACCAAACACACAAATGTTACAACTCTATCTATGTCTTCGTTTTGTGCTTTAGTCCGCTGTTTACCAAACGACGTTAAGTTTAGCCTTGCTAAATTTTCGGGTGGAATTCAAGTCTTATTTTCCATATAAACTTTCAAAAGCAAGAAAAGCAGTAGTCCATTGGCTCATCGTCAAAATTCATCATATCAGTTTCGTGCTTGGTATATCCATCGAGCAACTTGCAGTTGCAGCGCCAATGTGTCTAATTGTCCTCGTGGCAACCGGACCTATCTAGAGTGGACCCTAAACAAAAATGTTACAACTGGACTTTTTAAAGAGTTTGAAAACCTTGCACTCTTTGTTGAGTTCTTCCTATTTCCACTGCTTGGTTTTTCAGTATCTACCGAAATAAAATGAGGAATAGTCGTTGAGTGAGAATCGAAATCGCTGCCCATGTACTTTCCAGCCACTTCTTCCAAGGTCTTTAGGTGAAACGCATCCTTGATTACTTCTTCACCAAAGTCACGACGATTTCAAAGAAGAAAAAATTACGTTTATTCAGATGACCAACTTATTATTAACCTCGTAGTTTATCAAATAATTATTTACATCCTTGTTGAGCATAGATGAGGCGTTAAGTTACGTTTAATCGATTTGTATCCTATTTTCTCACACCTTTCAGGCTCTTCTGATCATTGAGAATCTCATAACTCAATATTATTAGTTAGTGGGATAGGTCTAAAAGCATTCAAACTGATTCGTCAACGCTATTGAATATGCACACTTCTTGTTTATCAGTTGGGTCGTTCACTACGGTACATCCGGGTTGGTCCAGCTGAGGTTACAGTTCGACTTTCCTGGAGCTTGCGAGCTGGCTACGCTATGTGGTTAACCAATTCCGACACGCATTCATAGTGAAATCGGTATAGAGCTGATTGCTTCATTGTTTCGCTTCCTGTCATCACAATCCTCGTCTACGAACAAACACAACCAAAAGTTCACCCTTTTTGGAGCTGAAAGCTCAATCAGTGGTTTCGTACTCAGGCGATAAGCAATCGATCAAGCCGTGGTGAAGTATCCAGTTAGCAGTCGAGATCATGAAGACGGAGTGTATTATTCCTATATAATAGCACTATTTCATAGAGAATCATAGCTGCCCAAGTAGAAGTGCTCTAGTGTTTCCTTTAAATTAAGAACTCTTCGAATGCATGACGCTTCACGAAAAAAAAAGGCAGTCCAAAAGAGAAAGTATGTCTTGAAAACAATATTCAACGCTCTTTAGATAAGTTGATTGAGAAGCAATCATTCAGCCAGTGAAGATGTGAACACTTTAGAACACTAACGGCTCCGACGTGTACGAAGAGAAGATTTTATAATTGCATTGCATAGCACTTTTGCAGAATCAAGACCCTCGAAATTTTTGGACTTCACCCAATTGGCGGTGCTAAAATTAATAAAATTATGTGATGTTACCACTTTTCATTGAGTTTACCAGCTAAGTATTTAGCACTTATTTTAACTGAACGGATACTTTTCTAACCTTATTGTGGTGTTACCACCACTTCTGTTTATTGCGTTTCCTCGGAATTAGAAAGAAGAAAATTGTGGTGTTGTTGGTCTGTAACTGTTAAAAATCAACAATAGTGTCCAACAAAGTTGAAGATATAGCTAAATCTCCAGTTGCGCTAAATTCGAAGAGCTGTCTCTGGTCTTCGAACACAAGTGCTAGAACCGCTAGCACTCTACCGTTTAGGGTCCGCAGCACGTTTTCAGAAACCGATGAGAAATCGTTTTGCATACTGTCGCTTATCGTTAAAAAAACAACTTCGGAAGTTCAACTAAGAACCTTTACTCAAATATCGGAAATCCTGCAATCAAACTAGATGAGCGTGCTTCTCCGATGATTTGTGCCCCGATTTGTGCATTCGCTACATCCTAGCATACGACAACCGCTGATAAGTTCAGCTGAGAGTTAGAAACTTCAACGATTCGTAGTAGAAAATTTATTCCAATGTCGATACTTTTTTATTCACTGCCTATTCTTTTTTCATGGCATGGCATTATGTGAAATATAATCATAATGATGCTGGGATATTTACAAAACTTCGAACCGCTGGCGCATGCGGTGGGCCATTTTCCTTTCCGGGGGTTGATATGTTCACCACCACACCAAGCGAGTCCTTTGCTTCATTTTTCTGTCACCTGTGTTATTGACCTATGGGTGCCATCACGAATCATCCATCAACGAGATTGATCCCGGATGCACAAACCCGCGTTGAACCCATTTAAGCCGAAGCTGCGGTTAAATGATAAAGGATAAAGCTCTCGGCATTGATTAATCCCTGAGGGTGCGCCATGTATTCGACTTCATGAAGTATCGTTGGAGGTGATTGGATGCATATCTAGCCTTTACAATGACTCGATGGCCTACCGACGTATTGAGCCAGTGCTGCTATCCTCCCAGACACGTCTGGTACCAATCTGCCGACCTTGGAGAGATGGGATGCTTGGTGGGCCATGGGTTCCGTGTGTGTGTGTGTCGCAGTGGCGCCTCCAACCACTGTGCCACACGCACCCCACACGAAGCTGTGGTATAAATCACAATGCCATCATTTTTATTTACTGCCTATTTTTTTCATGGCAGAGTATCATGTAAAACATAACCATGAAGATGTTGAGATATTTGCAGAACTCCGGACTGAAAGAACTACCAAAGCAAGCCGGAAAGGAAGTTACTTCATCAATATTTTATACTTTTTTTTATACGAGCTCTCTTCACGTTTACTGTATGGATCCCAGCATTTCCAACATTTGATTCGTTTCTTCGCATCCACCATTCACTAAGGTCTTCCAACTTTTGCGTATACCTTTGGCTGCTGCTTTAGGGTTCCTACTTCACCTTGAATGTTGTAGAATGCCGGTCAACTCGATTCTACCTGGATTCCTGGGATAGGCGAGCTGGAGCGTTCCCAGTTGCCCTGCAGATAATGATTTTTTCTCGGAAAAGTCTGGTAACAATTTCTCAACCCTGGAGTGATCAGAGGCTTGGCCGGCCCGGAGAGGAATCGAATTGGCACTATGTTCGTGATGATGGACATCACTAGCACTGTGCTATCCACCCTATTCTCTATTGCGTCTATTTTACAAAATATTCGAATGTAATTTATTTATGTGATCTTATAAACTGATCTTCTTAAGCTGACGCGAGGTTGGTACAAATCCTTGTTGTCGTTGTCGTTGTTTATGACGTTATTGATCGATAGCCGACATTTCGGCGACTTCGCCTTCCTCAGAGCTTGGACGTACTTTATGTTAGAATACTTTTTATTATTCGGTGGAAAAGAAGGTCAAAGTATTAATGAAGATCAAACTTTCAAATAGACGCCATATTGAACAGAAAAGCCACTCACCGTGATGTTACGTGCGGGACTGGCCCACACGTAGTTCACGTGGAGTCGCGAGCAAGACACGCCCCGGAGTCAAAATATCATTTTGAAATAGGGCGCCAGGTCACGCGTGATAGTGAGGCATTCGTCCTTCCGATTCGTCTTTGGATCTTTGAAATTTATCCAAAGCTCCTCAAGAGTTTTGCGCGTTGATGTTTTTGATTCCTGCGCTAGGATCCGCACATTCACTTCAAAGTCATCACCGTTGTGCTTTTGTGCCCTATGCGTACCTAGAGGGGTGTTTAAACGGATTTTAGCTTTCCCATGCAGACGTTCTTTTATGCGGACACAAAGTGGTCTAGCCGTTTCCCCGATATATTCCTCGCCGCATGCATTACATGAGATCAAGTATATTATACCTAAACTCATGCAATCCCCGTCTCTCCCGTTAGGACAGATCATACAGTTTTCTGAGCTGCACAAACGATCATAGAGACGGTTGCGAACTAACTGACGGCGTAGGGTATTGGGTGGGATGTCAACAATCGTTACATAATTTTCAAGACCAATTTTTCTTAAGCAACTTTTAATGGCGCAACTTACTTTATTTGATATGAAGGGTAGCTTAAAGGGGATCTTACTTACGTCCGAAACATTATCTCGGGGAACTACCGTACGTTTTTCTCTAATCCGAGTGGCTTCTACTTCGTAGTCATTGGAAATGGCTATTTTTTGTGCGAGGTTTAGCGATCCTTCCTTTCCTTTTCTCCTGTGCACACATTTTTAGCCGTACGGTACATGTTTTGGATAAGTGCTTGGGTACCTACGCCCAATACCCTACGCCGCCAGTTAGTTCGAAAAGTTAGTTCGCCGCCAGTTAGTTTGAGCAATTGTTTGCAAATAATGTTAATTGACAATTATTGAGCTTGAAGAAGAACGCTTGGCATGGAAAAAAATAGAAATGATGAACGTTTTTCTATTCCGCTGTTATTCCTGCTTTCACAAATTTTCCGTGTCTTATGAAACGATGTAGATAGAGATCAATTGATTAAGAACGGAGAGCACTAAATACTAATCAGCCGACTTTTTTTTAGCAATATATGTACAACGATTTTTCTCCCGAACTTGTCAAACGATCCGCTTTGGCAGAAGATGTTGGTATGATGTTCAAAGGCCTGAGGGGATTGCGAGGAAAGCGAATGCCGTACATGAATCTGAAGGGACTTCGTGGCAAACGACTGTTCTAGGTAAGGTGAACTCTCTCAATAGACCAATCGGGTCCATTTTCCCCGCTCTTTTCGTTGGCCCGAGTTTCACTGTAGTGGGGTCGCCAAGATGTTCAACAAGTTGCTGATCTACTACATAAGCTATTATGTAGAACGCATTACATCGCAGTATCACTACAACTAATGGAATGTGCTGAACTAATGAAAGAAGAACAAATGTTACTGAAAGCAAGGGTGAGATCAAACATTTTTTCCTCAGCTACTGATACAGCCGTAGATCTCCCAATGTAAATGAAGTCAAACAATTCAATGCGGAGAGTGCATGAGCCTCTGTATATGCGCCATCACATTCGCACCTCTGAAAGTGTGCTTTCGTACATGTCGACTCTACGCTGCAAGTCGATTCGCCCAAACACTTAATAGAAACGACTATGGAATAGGTGAACGACGGTTATCACCGGCCCACAACGGATATTTTTCATTTCTGCTGTCGGAGAACCTATATAATGTGAAATCCATGATAAAACCCATGCCCATGGGTATACATAGAATCAATGACATAGTATAGTGTTCCACCCATCAATGACTTATGTATACATGCACCGGCCTCCATCGATAATGCGTTCTCATCTTCGGCACCTACCGGAAATGACTAAAATGTCAACGATGTAGTGCAGCCCTCCACAACAAGAACTTTGAATGACGCAGAATAAGTTGATCAAGCACAATTTAGACAGGGATACTGTTGCATGAACCACATCAGAGCTGTGTTCACCATCATAGAACCTCGCCGGAAAGTAGGGAATTTGTGTGACAATGGCACGCGCATTAGTGGGAAATCCCAACAAAACCTTCTTTTCACAATAATATAGTTGGTATCTTTTCAAGATATACTAATGAAACAGAGGCGATGTCAAAGGAACTCAGCTGAGCAGGAGTAAAAATTGGACTGCGAAAAAACCATAAGACTAAAGTTCAAAGAAAGTCACAAGAGGACAAGCGGACAGTTACCTTGTTACATGGACCACACACAGCAAGCCTATCCAGAGCCTTCAGCGAGGACGACATGAAAGAACTACATAGAAGAGAACGGGATGGATCCGATTATATCCCTCAGAGATCGAAGATCCCTCAGACCAACGAAACCAAAACTCTGAACAATATAAAGCTCTAAAAAAGCTCTCGGCGTTGACCAGTTAATCCCTTAAAGACGCGCCATGCATTCAACTCCATTAAGCACCGTTTCATCGTGGTGATTGAATGCATATCTGGCCTTCATAAATGATCACGATGGTCCACCGATTCATCGAGCCACTGTGGTTATCCTCCCAGACAAGTTTAGTACCAATTTTCCGACCTCGGAGGAATGGAAGGATTGGTGGACCAGGGCCGTCGGAATCAATCACATGTATTGCAAGGCGTCCCCGACCTCTGCGCCACAAGCGCTCATCTGAACGATATATAACCTGCAAACAACATGAAACCGTAATGCATGGGTCACACCTTCGAAACCTATCCCGCTATTGAGATTGAGAATACAAATCGAAAGCAAAACATTGGTGGAGAGGTCACATAGTAAAAGTTGACATACGAACGAGAAAAACAGTGTAACAGATTCCTAGGAGATCCAATCGTCCTATAAAATGATAAGCTACAAGATGGGCAGACATGTTGCAGATGTTTATAGCCCACGCCAATCAGTTACTTCCCTGTAAACGACTTATAATAGACAGTAGGAATGAGACTAGTGCGGCCCATAACACTAACCTTAAGTGGCTAATCGCGATCGATGAAAGTAGTGAAGGCATTAAACAAATGGAAAATGTGCTCAAAATGAGTCCTAAAAGTACCCAACTAAGTATACTGACTTCATTCAACACTTTCCGCCCGAAGCACTTACGGAACCCAACTAGTGCTCCTCTCTTTCAGACATTTTTGAAACGAATCTGCCACATATAGAGAACATTCATAGTGTTCTAGGGGTACAAATGCCATACTAAGAAGAGAATTATAAATGGAAAGAAAAAAGATAAAATGAAACGTGCTTTCTCCTAACTTTAGGAAAAAGTTGACTCGCAGATCTTACAGTTCCGTCTCCACTGTACGACACCGGTCATCGTTCGGTGCAACCAATTTGTTTCAATGTGTATGGAAGCATAATGAGAAATTCCACAACTCTGAAGTTGATGTAGTGGTTACTAATAAAAATCCAACACTATGTATCTTACCTATGAGAGAATTTCATTTACGCTGAGACAACGACCGCAAGAGTACTAAGTTCTCAAATACATGATATGGAAATGAAAATCGAGTCATTTTTAACCACATAAACCTAAGTAAAAAAAATGAAATACACTTAAGGAATAACGTTTGAGAAAAATGAAGCCATGAGATCAATATTCACTCCTCTTCGTGCCACTTTTTCCGCTTCTCACGAGGTGGACCCGTGTCAGCAAACAGTTGAGCTTGTAGCTCTTCATATGTCATTGAAGAGTAGTCTAAACAAGAAGAACGATATTCGGTAGAAACTAAACGAATCTTTAAGCTATAGCCTCTAAGTTATTCAACAAAAAGTGTCAAATTATGAGATATTTCTAAGTTCAGTAATAACAACCAACAAACCTCTATGCTCGTCGGTACCAGTGGCTTTTTCATTCTTATTACTAGGCGTCAGAGGCGGAATAATCCAACTACCTGGAGTAAGATGACATTTAAATTGTTCTACGTCACTGAGCCACATAAACTACGGGGCCAGATAGAACTGCAGTAACATTTTCACACATATTTTTTAACTTTATTCGATCCGTCATCACGTCTACTGTGCAGATCCCAGCACTTATCACATTCGATTCGTTTCCTCGCATCCACTGTTCACAAAGATCTTCCATCTTTTACATGTGGCTTCTGTTCCTGCTTAAGAATTTTCATTTCATCTTAAACCTCGTAGAATGCCTGTCGACCAATTCCTCCTGGAGTTCCGAGATAGCCGGGCTGTAGCGTTCAAATTTGGATTTCAGATCGCGATTTTTTCCCAGACAAGTCCGGTACCAATTTCCCGACCCGAGAGTGATGAGAGACTTTGTTGGGCCGAAGTGAAATCGAACTAGCACCATGCTCGTGATGATGGACATCACTACCACTCTGGCATCTGCCCCCATTTCACACATTTACATATACATATATAAAAAAGTAAATAAACAAATGCATATATATGTATATATATTTATTTGCGAACTACTTGATTGCTATGGAAACCTAGAAACAATCTTAACTCTTTTATTTACTGCCTTTTTTTCTTAATGGCAGAGTATGTTGCGAAATATAACTCATATGAAATGCTGAGATATTTGCAAAACTCCAGACCACAGGTGCATGCAGTGAGGAACGAACACGCGCTGTTGTCCTTACCGGGGAGCAGCGCACTTCACCACCACACCATCCGGGTCAACCCGTGCTCCCCGGGAAGGACAACAGTGCGTGTTCGTTCCTCACTGCATACACCTGTGGTCCGGAGTTTTGCAAATACCTCAGCATTTCATTCTAGAAACAATATTTCTAAGGGAACGTTTTTATAAACTGAACCAAATATCTCAGTATTTGTAACCAGAGCAATTAAAGAAAACCATCAGTATATATGCAAACTTTACGAGAAACACGACAACTTCGAAGTTGGTAACGACGTGCGACGTCTACCTTACTCAACAACTCTAAAGAATCACGTATATATTTCAAGTGCTCAGCCAAACATACTTCTTTTGACTTTTTGTATTCTCTCCTAATAAATTTCTCTTCTGCCGGTTCCATTTTATTTTCCTCCACTCTTCATATTCTCTTCAATGGGTCCCCGATGCTTTTATTTGATAAATGCCCATGTCCTCCAAGATTATAAGTTGCAAATCTCAACGGTTATCATTTAGATAAATTCTTGATGACCAAGAGTTAAATTTATAGACTCAAAACACATCGGCAGGAGTAAAGGAATTTAATTTCAACTTTGAATGGCTCCTCATCGAAAGCAAACAAGAAGCCGAAGATGATTAGGAAAATCTAAAATAACTGAGCTGTCGTTGAAAAAAAAAAGTGGACGAAAAGACTGATCGAAAAATAAATGGGGATGAAAATGATAAAATCAGCCAGGAGTCGAATAATTTAGTGCTCCACGACCACAGTACAATCGATGATTTTCAATTTGGAGTAGATCTATAGCTGCTGAGACACATAAGAACAATACAACTTCGACGTACAGTCACGATGGAACCATAGTCTTTCTATCAAAACTTATTCCAGAGGAATACCCGTTTAATTACCACTGAAATGTGAATACGAACTTTTTAAATAGGCTATTCAGAAAAACCTAAACAAAGAAACGAATGTGTGGCAGAATCAAAGCTGCAAATGCTCCTCGAACGGAAGGGCAAAAACTCTTATAATAATCACGGTTCTTTACGCGAACCTTCCGCCATGGAGAACAAACCACCTTGTTAGAAGCTACAAATAAATGTTCTTGTACACGAATCGGCATTCATTTTCATTCTCATTGTTTTGGCATATACAACTTTACTCTTAGGAGTTTTCGCGAATGTGTTAATAGAAAAAAATGATGGAATTATAGTACGACTAGTGGAAAAATATGTAAATATGGTAAAGAAGAAACGTTAAGAAACCATCCACAAATATCATAATCATTAAGTTAATTGAGTAATTAAGTTACAATAAAGATGGCTGCTGTCCACATTACTCAAAGACATTAGTTGAACATGGACCCTCAAATTTCAAAGAATCTCAAAGACGGAGGCAATCCGTATTGTACCTGAAATGTCCGGACCATCCTTTCCAAACTCTGACTCTGCATCTAGGTCTTCGTTATTCACGTCAAACTCAATCACACACACGCGATCGCCTTTCTTTGTGGTTCGAATGGGTGTTATCGTCGATATTGTGCCGTACTAGAATTCCATTTACGAAGTGGAGTTTTTGAAATTATTTATATGGTTCAACAAGCGAAGGATATTCTACTCATTCCAAACAATGACTGTAGGCATAACATCCCTTGAGGAATAGAAAAAAGTAAGTAAGACGTCACCATACTTTTATTGGAACTGATGTTGAATAATGAACAACGTACCTTTTCATAGATGTCGCGTAGTTGACTCTCGTCATAATCGTTGTCACCAGAGGGTTTCCACTTCACACGCAGAGTAGCATGCTTTTCTTCTATAACATTATTGGAACAAAAAACGTAGAATGTTTGAAACATAAATAAAATAATGGAACGGTACACTAAAAGGACATATTTAACACCGGGATAGATAGGCATCGAATAGACTAGAACGAAGTGCATAGACTAACTGATGGCCTGTGGATCTGTCTTGATTTCTGTTCGCTCCATAACAAGTCGAGCGATTCTCTCTTGTTGAGCATGGATCTCGTCTGCTGCTTCTTTTTCCAGTCGTTGTCGCAACGTCTCGAATTCGGATCTGATGCGGCTCTCCTAAATAATTTTTAGGACAAACGTCATGTAATGAATGCAAATCACATACGGATCACATATGCGTTATCACAACTGTTTAAGCAAAACGTATACGCTGGGAACTCCTTTTTTTACTGAGTGAGAGCGCACAAGGTGCCCGAGGTCACCCTAGCCAAAGTCTGCCCCAGGTCGTCACCACCACAGATAGTTGTAGCTCTTGTGGATCAGAACAAGATTTGCTATTATGCGGATACCAGGACGGTGATGGACCCCCGTATCGGCTTGCTCTTAGCTAAGCTTCCTGATGGAGACGTCGGACTCCCCGGCTTAGGAGAACCCGCCGGAGGGAGGAATTCCCCCGCTGTACATTGCAGTCCCACACCCAGGAACACCTCCCAACCACGATGAGGCGGTTAACCGCTGGGAGTCAGGGTGATTTTAGATTTAAAAAAAGTCATTTACAGGACTGTCAAAACCTCCCTCATCGACTTCTCCACATTCCACCACATAACACTAGAACAACTAATATCGAACCTCTTCTTTCCACTTTCTATGGGCTTGAGAAGCAGTCAAATGTTCTTCAACATTGTTTCCACTGGCATATAATCGTTCCCTTTCATAAAGGTCATCGATTAACCTGGAATCACAACATCGCTGTTATCTGATTTTTATCGTTTATTCTTCCAAAATTAATACCAATATACAGGAAAAACCGTTCAGATCTGCTAACTTCCTTCTAGCAATGTCAGCTTTCTCCATTCGTGCTCTCTGAGCTGCTTCCCTTTGTTTAGTCCTTTCATAGTCCCGATCATATTCTTCCTGAACAACGAGAGAGAAACTGAAGATTTAAAGAGCTAGAGAGGAACTTGATTCAATCATTCAATTACCCTTCTAATCTCGTCAAAAAGAAAGTGGAAGGCTTCCTTTGCAGCAATAAACCTTTTCTCAGCTGAAACCAAAAAGAGTGAACACCTGCAACCCACAAAGACATAAGTGAAGATATAACTACACGACCGAAATGAGACAATATTTCAGAAGTTTAAGAATAACAATTCTAAGCTATGCGTCTCAAGAAAGCCGTGGAAATCATGTCTAACATTTCTAAGACAAACTATGATAACAAAGTAGTGAAATTAGGAGATAGACAAAATTAGAATAATCCCTAAGAAAACCTGTGCCTGCTTGGCCCGATAGACACCGATGGTAACAACACAGCTAACTCTGAAAACGTACCTTCTTCTTTGTTGTCCAGATTTTTGTCAGGGTGCCATCTCAGACATTGTTGCTTATATGCCCTTTGCACATCCTTGTTCGAGCATCCTCGTTCTAATCCAAGCACTTCGTACGGATTGATAGGATTTTTTTTTCTGTGAGACATTCTAGTTGCAATACCTACAATAAAAAAGTAATAAATTCAACGACTAAATCTGTAAACAGATTTGTGCTAGAAAAAAGTACGTCTCCGGTATGTACCGTTATAAACAAACCAAAGAAACGAATAGACTGTTTATCTTAACCATGAAAACAAAAAATGGGTAAGTCAACATAGCAGTATAGTGAAAGGTATGCAATAAAACAATATAAACCAAAAGTTCGGGCTACAACGAATTCTCAAAAAACACGTAGCTCTCTACCAGCAGTATTCTAAACTGAGCATTGTCAAACTTTGCTTTATATGATATTCCAAATGACGGTGCGCATTTGGCAAAGTCGTTCATGTGCAACCAGAAAAACATTGAAGAAGCCATAACACTGAGAGCTCCCTGCAGACTAAGAGACACTTGGTAACCTCGTGTATGCTCAACAATTTAAAGACATGTTGATTTTTCCAGAGTACTGAATATAAGCGAAATACATACGAAGTTCTACTTTCGTGAATTGGCATATTCTTCGAAGGATTTCTCGTAAGCAGCCACATCGACAGGATTAAACAGAACAAAGACGACACGTGCAATCTGAGAAGAACAACTTCAGCATCGTCAATCTTTTAAGTGTCGAATTTTTAACGAATTCCGGACTCTCAGACTACGAGTACTTCATCAGTCGAATCAAAAACCTTTAGAGCATACAGATCTTTGCAAGCAAAACACAACCTTCTTCGCTGCTTTGCAGTGGAAAAAAATTTGGAGTTAACCAGAGCCCATAAAACGCGTTTGTTCGTTTTTTTCTCCCGAAACTTCCACTTTTAATATCGAAGCGACTGTACAGTTAGGGAAACGATAAAATAACGGACAACGGTGTTCCAAAAAACACTAATGTTATTAGCAGTTGCAGCGCTTTCGGCAAGAATATTGAAATGCAAACTTGAGTTCGACCTTTTGAATTAAATTTTGAACAAATTTACGATTAAAACATCATTTTATCAAAATGATTTACAGTGCGATAGTTTGGAGCAACTGCAATCAGAATGTCAAATATTTAGATTCATATATGCTTTTGTTATCGAGAAATAGTCTGAAATTGGGCTGAAACAAAACTTGTAGTGAATATGCTCGTTTTTGATTCGATTACCAAACCCCCATATCCATGTATATCGGTAAGTATACGGAACCAAAAGAGAAAAAAATACCCCAACAAAACCAGTCGAGCAAACTCGGACGAGAACCTACATTGACAGCATTTTCAGGCTTAGAGAGCCAGTCTGTAAGAAATCCGACTACTGTTTTCGCAGCATCCTCTTGCGGATATCCGTAAACGCCTGTGGATATGCAACAAAATGCCTGAAAGTCGATGAAAATTATTACAAATATGCATTGACATAATTTACTTGACATACAACGCTACGAAGATTATTCATCACAGCCAATTCAAGACAGGAGCGGTAGCATGACACCAGCTTTTCGCGGTCGCTTGCGGACGCAACTTTAGAAGAGCATCGAGGGCCAACAGTGTGAATTATATCTAAACGATTATCTAACGAAATACAAGAAAACACGCTTATCGTGGTAACTCAAAGAAAAAACAACGACTCTTGCACGGCTCTAAAACAAGATTAGACTGTAACATGTATACCGAACGAGTACGGGTACTGCAATGGTTTGACGCCGTTCAATACGGGAGAAGTCATTGTTTGACCTCGCACCAAGCCATCAAAACTCTCAACTCTTCGGGTCGTGGAATTGGTATCAGATATGCACGAGAAGAGCCTCCTTCGATCCGAAAACAATGAAAACTGCATGTGGTGAAGACCTGGGAACGCCCTGGGACGGTTATCTCATGATTTAGTGGAGAATTGACTCGGCGAGCATTCAACGACAACCGTAAAAAAAAAGGATCGAAAATTTTCAAACAACTGCTTAAGCTACACGCAAATCCGAATGCTTTCGTTTACAATGGATGTTAGGAAACGGACCGAACGAATGTTCCGGGCTCAGTTTGATTTTTCTTGTTCGTGTTGTGTGAAAAATTTTTAAAAATTTATAAAATTACCAACTCTTTATGTGGCTCATTTGGCAGCCACTAGTTATGACAGCAGCACCTGTGTCGCAATGTCCTATAGCTCGACATTCCTTCTGAAGGTCCGTAGTACCGGCTGCGCGATGTATCGCTCCATCAACACCACCTCCTACGAATGAAGAACAATATCGATACAGAACTCTTTACCATCTTGAGAATTGAAGGGCACACAAGAACGTCCCGTACTATATATTAACACCAGAGTTCGCACTTGCAAATTATTGATTTTAAAAATTGCAAAAATACAAAGACATCTGTCCCACATTAAGCCACCAAGAGCGGAGAAAATTTGGAAACAGATACATCTGTCGCCACTTTTTATTCACCACATATTCTTTTTTTTAATGGTAGAGTACTATGTTAAATATAACCATAGTGATGCTGAGACATTTGCAAAGCTCCGAACCGCTGGTGTCTACGGTGGTGATCGAACCCCGCTAATACCCTTTCGTGAGGCTAACGGGTTCACCACCACACTATGAGAGTCCCTCGTTTCGCCTCTCTCTCCGCCGTATTATTAACCTATTGGTTCTATCAGCAATCACCCGTCAACGGAAGTAACCTAGGTAACACAAATCGAACCCAGTTAAGGTGAAGTTGTAGCATAAATCACAACGTCGTCACCTTTTACATACCGCTTAATCTTTTTTTAATGGCAGGGTGTTATGTGAAAAATAACCATAAATACAGGACAATAACACGGCTGAAAGAAAGGCGAAACGAAGGGCTCGCCTACTGTTGTGGTGAACGCGTTGGCCCTCGGAAAGGGTAATAACGCGTTCGGTTGCCACCGCAGACAACACCAATCCGGAGTTTTGCAAATATCTCAAAATCATTATGAAGCTTCGATGTTCTAATGCCTAATAACCAACATCTCTCCCAACGGTTTATCGCCTCATCGCGGCCGGGAGGTGTTTAATGGGTATCGGATTGCAATGTACAGCGGCAATGTACAGCGGGGAGATTCATACCTCCGGCAGGGTCTCCCAAGTCTAGAAGAAGTTGGATCTACCACTGTCTTGGTGTCAAACTAGTCGCATAGTGGCAAATCTCGCTTTGATCCACAAGGACTGCGACTGCCTGTTGTGGTGATTATCCAGGGCACATTTTGGCTAGGCTGACATTGGGACTTCAGGGAAACACAATAGCTAGACCAGTAAAACTCCAAAAAATGGAAATTATGCTGAGGGTCGCACAACCAGAGAGAATGGGCCGTCTAAGTATCCACGTACTAACCAACATAGAAATTAATAAACAATTGCTTTTGATAACTAAAAAGAAATTAGCTTTACTACCGTCGAAACGGCAAAGAATTTTAATGAGCAGAGCGAGATCTCTACAAGAAACACCAGAGAAACGAAAAATGTCCATACCACCACGTAACTCGTTGTTCGCAGCATTTACGATGGCATCGATCTCAAGGCGAGTAATGTCACCACGCCATAGGGACACCTTCTCCAATACATCTCGAGCGACTCCAACTAGAAACACGAGTTCAGATTTCAAAGAAAAAAGGGTAAAAAATAAACATAGGAAAATAAACACAAAAAACAACCAACACTTCTCAAAAAGCGTGGGAATCTCCTTCAAAACAGTAACCATATCACCTGAAAGAAATAACCAATGTTTCGCAAAGAATTCAAAAAAAAAAGTGGAGCCTAATAAACTTAAAGGATAAAGGATGATTCTTTCGGCGTTCATCAACTCCTGAGGGGTGCGCCATGCACTCGACTTCATTAAGCATCGTTGGAGCTGATTGGATGCATATCTGGCCTATACTTCCGGTGGCCTATTGATGTGCCCAGCTAGTACTGCTGTACTACCAAACTAGTCTGGCACCAATTTGCAGACTCCGGAGGGATGAAAGGTTTGGTGGGCTAGTGGTGCGGGGATAGACGCCATGTGTATTGCACGGCGCCTCTGACTACTGCGCTACACAGATGGTAGTACGCACGTCTGTCTGGTGAGCAGATGACTATAAATGGCGATGTCTTAAAAAAGAGCAACTGAGCGAGACGATAAGAATAAAGGAAAAACAGATCCAGCACAATAAGGCATAACAACGGTGCTACGCAATTGCAGCTGACGAAAATACTAAGTGTCGTCAAATTGGTGGGGTTGTCCGCTGCGGGATCCTGCACGCCTCCGTACCGAGCGGGCGCCGTTGGGGAAGGGAGGAGGCGAACGTCCGAGCACGAGGACCGTCGGGATCTAATTCGTCTCATCAGTTCCATACGGATCCTCGTTGTTGTTGCTGTTGCTGTTGTTGTTTTTGTTGTTGTAGAGCAAGAGTGTTCCGTTCGGGTCTACCGCTTTCAGTGCAGTGGCCAGCACTTCTAGGATCCGCTCACTGTTCGTCGTCTCCTACGTGGTTTTCTCCGCGGTCACCTACGCGTGGCGTTTCTCGAGTTTTTTCTGTTCCAGACTGTTTCGTCCAACTTTAAAGGAACGCTTTTGTGTTAAAAAGGAATATCCTAGCTATTCAAGGTCGTGCTGACTGTTGCTTTCTTATTTTTAGGTGGTTCGTAGGTCACGAAACTGACATCATTCACTGTTTACAATATTTTACTGAACATTATGATGCAGTAGACGGGGGCCATTTGAGGTGAATCCTCCGCCCTTTACGTGAGGCTGTGAATATGAGCGTCCTTTGTTCAAGGAACTGTAGAGATTGCTAAATATGTCGTATTTCAGCAACCTTTGTATTATGGTAGGAGCTCGTGTGGCGGTGGTCGGAGGCGTCCTGCAACACGCACACGGGATCCATCGCGCGCGCTCCTGGTACACCAAGCCCTCCGTTCCTTGGAAGTTCGCATACTGGTACTAGACCTATCTGGTAGGAGAGCAGCGCTATCTCGATACATCGATAGGCCACCGTGGGTCATTGTAAAGGCCAGAAATGCATTCAATCACCTCCAACGATACTTCGTGAAGTCGAATGCATGGCGCATTCCTCAGGGATTGGTCAACGCCGGGAGCTTTATCCTTTATCCCTTTATGTATTATAGGTAATGAGTAGGTGTGTGAGCAATTGCCAATATCGCTCCTGTTTCTTTTTTCCGAATAGCGGAACCCTGATAATGGTTTTCCAGTGCATATTTGCTTCCCAAGAGCTCGTTTAGGGAACAGGTTAGAGCTTCTCTGAATGCACACGTGGCCTTTGCTTCGATCTACCACCCTGGACTCAACAACCTTCCATTCTGATAGCAGAGCAACATTGACTTGAAACACCTGTGAGCCACCGCAAGTCGTGCAAACTGGTTTTGCATTGAATCTCACCTTTGCCATGCTCGATGAGGTCGATTGCATAGTGTCTCGCTCAGGGATTGATCAACGCCGACAGCTTGATTCCCTATCCTTTACTTACCTTCCGTTTTGACAAAAGACGCAGAAGGAGCCAATTCATTCTGTGAAGTTCTCGTGATGAAGCTTTTTTGGATCTTGAGAATAAGTTGTGCTGCTACTTTTTCAAACTATGATGATATGATAAAAGGGCGCGTGTGGCGCAGTGGTCGAAGGCCGCCCAGCAATACACATGAGATAAATTCCCGTGCCCATGGCCCACCAAGCTCTCCATCTCTCCGGTGTCGACAGATTGCTACCACACTTGTCTACGAGGATAGCAGCACTGGCTCGAAACATTGGTAGGCCACCGCTAGTCATTGTAAAGGCAGGCTATACATTCATTCACCTCCAGTGATACGTAATGAAGTCGTCGCATCCCTCAGGAATTGTCACATCCGAGAGGCGGGCTCAATTCCCGGCCGGGGAGAATGGTTTTGATTGTCGATTGTCAAGCACCTCCCTTTCGCTTCTCCTCGCATAGAGGGCAGCGATGATGGAAATGAAGGCTCGTGTCGATTTCGGATCCTCGGGAGTATAGTGGTTAGTATCCGCGTCTGCCACACGCGAGACCCGGGTTCAATTAACGGCCGAAGAGGAGGGTTCTGATTGCCAATTGTCAAGCGCCGGCATTGATCAACGCCGAAAGCTTCATTCTTTGTCCTTTGTGGTATGATTTCGGAAGGTAGCGATGGAACAACGACATATGTCCTCCCCAGGGACGTGACTTGGAAGTTGGATGTCGAAGAGAGACCACAATATGAATCTCTTGAATGCTTTCTAAAGTTAGTGCATGAGCATTATGCCAAGCAGTTTCTTTCTTACTGCAAAGGCGAAAAACTTAGAGTGCACAGTTAACATTTTTGTCCTCAAACGCCCAAACGACCAATGCTTCGCCAGGTCTTTAGTTTTTTTTCGTCCGTTCATGTCCTTATCTATGTTACCTTAACATGGCCAGTACTTATGCGATATGGTTATCATTACCGGCGACAAGCACACTTTCAGTCATTCTTTTTTCCCACGGTCTATTCATAGATGTTTATTTTTCAGCGTCTTTTTGATGGTCTTCGAAAATTAGTTGAGCTCTAACCACTTGTCTCAGTAAGTATGTTTTCAAAAGAACAAACTATTAGAAAAGAATAGAGTTCTTAGTCGTAGTGGTCCTTCGTGACTTTGTTTTGTGGTTGCACACATTTCCTCTAATGGACGAATAATCCGAGTGGGCGCTAGACACTTCTCCATTTTATCTCTGTTAGGTGCTAGAATTGCTTATATTGAGAGGAAGGCTTCTGGAATTGCGAGTTACTACGAATGATCCTAAGCCTTATAAAACCAGACAGCAGCTTCCACTCATTAATTCTATTCCAAACCGTTTGTCTTCATCTAAACGTTATCTGACGTTTTTCTAGGGCTTGTCCTAGCGTTGAACTCACCATTATTGGCTTTTAGAAGATGCGATTTTCTTTGTAGAACTTCTCCAAGTCCATTTAGAAAGCGTCGACCTTGTCTTCTTTACAGCTTGATGCTAGTGCGTAGGCGATGAGAATTCTCAGTGCCAGCATTGGTCCACATCGCTGCAACCGTAAATGCTCAATTCAGGTCGAAAGTTGTTAAAATAACTCGGTACTCATAGGAATAGCGCTACTTCAATAATTCGAGACGTGGCAGTGTCTGTAACAGCGAGGTCTATGTATAATTTTCTGGATGAACGAGAGCTCTATATCGATGGTTACAACTCTTCGTAGTTCAGGTACGAGCCTTTCTCTCAATTAATTGAGACCGTAACTTGTTGGAAGCTATAACCACCGAAAGCTTTTCTTGGGCAGGAACGACCAGCTTACAGCTACACGTAGAGCGCTCATTTCGTCTGATCACTCCGACCTGTAGGGTGAAGCCAGAGAAGATCTATAGCGATCACTTGCGGAAACCTCTCCGAATGACTTCAACGTGGGTGTCTACTAGAGTTATAATGGATGTGGGTGTAGAAAAGAACATAGATACGATTTATATCTTAAGTTGTCTAAAAATTACTGTTTAATTCATAATTTCATTCTTGTATATGTTTTCCTTCCAGTGGTTTACCACCTCATTGTGGCCGGGAGATGTTGTTGGGTGTGGGGATCAGGGATGATACAGATGTACAGGGATGCATACCTCTGCAAGGTCTCCCAAACTGAGAAGGAATCCAGCGTTTCCATCAGTAAGCCCTGCTAAGAGTAAACCAATACCAGGATCCACCACCGTTCTGGTATGAAACTAGTCGCATGGTGGCAAATCTTTCTCTGATCTGACAAGAGCTGCGAATGCCTGTGGTGGTGGAGACCTGGGACAGAATTTGGCCAGGTCGACCTCGGGATTCCAAAGAACGACAGTGGCTTAACCAGCAAAACTCCGAAAAGTGGAGATTATGCTGGGGCCCGCACAACCAATGAGGACGAGCCGTCCAAGTGTTCAAGTGTATATGTTTTGGCAATAGATTCTTCCGAATGGTCTAGTATTATGTAACCATTGAAAAACAATTTCTATGCACTTCCGCTCCGTATAGTTGAATTACAACGACAGTTGTGTTTTGACAAATTTTAAGGGCTGAAATTTCAGATATCAGAGCAATAATTTTAACAACTGATCACAAGGGTGCTGAAAAATAGGCAAAACTCGGAGCCCTAGGACTCCGAACCCACAGCTGTCCTTACTCTTAAAGCACACTGCAACATCTTCTTGAATTACTAAGCTAACGCGAGGTTGGTAAGAACTTCTCTTCGCCTGGCAATTCTATGTCTTTTTCTTCTTTATAGTCAGAAAATCCAGTTTGCTAAAGTAATATTTTCCTGTGTATTAGTACTCTAATACCGACTGCTACAGTATGAATTGTCGACATGAAAAGAATCCATTATCAGTAGATAATCAGTCGACAATCGTCCTGTATAAAGAAACATAAACGAATCAGATTTTTTCATTCAAGCGGTGTTTCACTCATGAAAATTCAACTCTATATGGCCATGAAGACCCACAACACGTGGACGAATGACTTTGGACAGTCATTCGGATCAATCGGTTCTAAAGACGAAAACATCGAAACGTTAGTAAAAGTTAGATAACAACCTCGTACCGGCTGAACAATCTAAGCAAACATTCCCTGTTCTATTGATGAGCAAACAAAAGGTTATAACTTAATGCTTTATCTATAACCAAGCTGAACTTTCGGCGTATTTCGCCTTCCTCAGAGCCTAGACATGTCAAGTTGGCTGCAGTCTACCCAGCCAAACACCTCCATAACGAAAGTAGAAAATTCACAAATCGAAAATTTCAATCGCATTGGAAGCAAAACAAGAAAAAATTTCGTCCATTCACTGTTTTCCATGAATCTTCCACAAAGTTTGCCACGTGGAGACCAATCGCACAAAGTTCACATGGAATTTTAATATGCCTCTCATATTAAAATAAATAATGAAAGGATAAAGCTCTCCGCGTTGATCAATCCCCGAAGGGTGCGCCATGCATTCGACTTCATTAAGCGTCGTTGGAGGTGATTGAATGCATGTCTGGCCTTTACAATGATTCACCGTGGCCTACCGATGTATCGAGTCAGTGCTGCTATCCTCCCAGACAAGTCTGATACCAATTTGCCGATCCCGTAGGGATGGAAGGCTTGGTGGGCCATGGGCGCGGATATCGATTCCATGTGTTTGTTGCAAGGCGCCTCCGACCACTGCGTCACGCACGCACTTCACATTAAAATATCAGTATTGAATCCTGTGTGAGATCTTACTTACTTACTTGGATATTTGGACGGTCCGTCTTCACGAGCTGTGTGGACCCCAGCACATATGTCATTCGTTCATTTCTCTCGCAATCGTAGTCCATGGTGGCGGTCTTGTTCGAGCATGGTAGCGCTTGCGAGTCTCATACCGTGATCTGTAAGCCAACTGCAGCTGCGGGTACTTTAATTAACTTTGTTTACGAACAGATCTGTGTGAGATCACGCATCG